TGAATACCCAAGATAAACTAAAAATTAAATTATATAAAAAATTGTGTGTGGCTAAAAGATGTTCCTTATATGTAATCCAAACCAGAAGAACAATAAAAATTATCTCGTAATTTCTACTCTAAATTTTTTTTAAAAGTAATAAGACATGTGTTTTATTATAATACAAATCAACATCAACATCTACAGGCCACATATCATATTTGTTAAAATATAGTAAGTTAGGATAAGACCCTGAATATAATTTTTAATCATTCCGTTCAAAACTCTCTGACTGTTAAGATTGTAAGCACCTTTCTCAAGTTTTTCTCTGACAAATAAATTTTTTGTTTTGTATATATTTTCATTAAGGTTAATTACAATCTGTTATTATTTAACAAAAAGTAGTTCTTCTATTTTTTTTTTTTTTATAACGGCAATATGAATAGACTGTATTTAAAAGATCCTCCAATGAGTTACTCTCTGTTATTTGATAAATAAAACAAGTAATGATAAATTTTTTTGTTCATTTTTAAATGAATATTTAATGCCTCATAATCTTTCCAACAGCATATCAAAAAAATTTCTTCTTCAACCAAGTAAAATTTACTTGTAATATCATTTATTTATTTACTTATTTATTTAATGGCATCCATTAAATAGAATCATAAAATTGTACTGAAAATCCAAAAACATGTCATTAATTTATTGAATAAAAATCTCAATAATGAAAATTTATTGATTCTCTTGTATTCCGTATTATCCGAGTCAGTAAAGAGGATTGTCTATCATTAGGTGATCTTGTAGCATCAAGGAATGTTTTTAAATCTTCATTATTCAAATTACTCCAAATTGCATCAATACATTCATCAGGTAATTGTTGATTAATTCGTAATTTAAAATACTCTCTAGCAGAATTCATTAATGTTCGTCGAACTTTTGCTTCTCGGAATCGATTTCTAATAATATTTATATATAATGGAAATTCAAATTCATGATAATCTGCTTTCAAATATTCCTCAATATCTTCAATATGAACATATCGACTTAAATAATAAATACTTTTTTTCAGCAAATTATAGAAAGTTATATAACGATTTTTACCAATATCCTCAGAATGACTTGTTGTACATTTCATTAGTTGGATTTCTTTTTGACATTTTTCCATCACTTTAACTTTTTGACTATGAAAATGATGATTTATAATATTCCAATCTTTATTATTTACATGTAATCCAGCGGCTTTCAATTTAATAATATGTGTCACTAAAGTATCAATTTCACTTCTTGAATATTCTTTCATCGTATGGAATATTGTCTGAAGAGGAGTTAATGAATCTATTCCATATAAAACATTAACATCAGCACCATATTTTATAAGTTTTTTAATCATTCCATTATTTAAATCTAAAACAGCATAATGAAGGAGAGTATATCTATTCGTATTGGACGAATTTATACTAACATATGTAGAAGTAAAATTTTTGATAAGTTGGATAAATAATTTCATATATTGAGAAACATCAGTTGATGGACAGATATCAATACAAAGCCCTTCAAATTGACATTCAATATAAATAGGTAAATCACCGTTATTAATTACAGCATGAGAATTGAGATGGTGTTTCAATAAACATTCAACTACTTCATTGTTATCAGAATGAGAAGCTATTATATATGGTGTCAAACCACGGTCATCAACAGCTTCAACATTTGCACCATGTTTTAATAATAATTCTACAACATTTACCATCAAGGAGTATATACGATTTATAATTTTCCAATCATTACCATGTGAATACATATTTGCGACATTCATAAGAAAAGAATAGTCTGACTCATCTCTATTGATTTGAGCAAGTTTTGTATGTTCAGAATAACAAGCAAAGTGCAAAGGTGTCATTAAACGATTATTAACCAAATTGACCTCAGCACCATATTTTAATAGTAATTCGATCATTTTTACTAAGTTTATTGAGAATATACTTTTACAAAGTAAAGAAAGTGGTGTAAATCCTTCATTATTTGCAGCATTTACTGAAACATTGAGTTTTAATAAACATTCTATCATCTTGATATCGTATATCTTTTTTACGGCTGTATGAAGAAGAGTTTCACCATTAGGATCAACATATTGAACATCAACATTTTCATCTAATAATAATTGAACTATTTTAAGATGACCATTAATGATTGCTCCAAAAATAAGATCATTACCTGGTGCCTGAATGTTAGCTCCGCTTTCTATAAGTAATTTAACGATGTTATAAAAATAATCATTTCTAGAAGAATTATAATAAATACAAAAATGTATTAATGAATTTCCCTTGGGATCAGGATTATCTGGACTAATACCATGCTCCAAAAATAATTGAACAACTTTCTCACAATTATTATATACAGCAACACGAATAATAATTGAAAATGTTGGATCATATTTTATCTTTGCACCATATTTCAATAATAGTTTTATCATCTTCGGATCAGAGTTGAATACAGCTACATGCAAACATGTCACATCAATTGAATCACTTTCTTTATCATACGATTTTAATAATTGACGATATAAATTTAAATTAATAGAAAAAGTCATAACATTCTTCAATTCTTCATCAGGTATTGACATATTTACATCAGCATTATGTTCCAAAAGTTTTTCAATAACGTTATAACGTTTTTTTAGACAAGCAATTGTTAATAAATTAAACCTTGTTTTTGAATTAATCATATTTACATCAATTCCATGTTTTAAAAGTTGTAAAACAATTAATAAATGTCCATTTTCAACAGCTTTGTAAATGAAATCTTCATCATGATAATGATCTGGATGAATGATGAAATTATTATCATTTAGCAACAAATCAAGACATTTTTTAGCTTTTAAACCAGATTTCATCACTAAATCTTTAGGAATATATCGATTAGATGAAGTTAATGATGAACAATGAGGTATAATTAGCTTCATTATTTCTGCATTTTTTTGAGAAATAGCAGTCTGGAATGGAACTATCAAATCAATTGATGGATTACGTTTCTTTGCATAATCAATGAGCAACGTAACTATATCTCTATGATTGCCATCAACAGCTGCGAGAAGTAATGTATTTAAATCGTCATTATCAAGAGCACCTTTCTCTAGAAGTAAAGAAGCAGCTTCCATTTTACCTAACTGAACTGCAAGATTCAATGGTGTTTCATTATTTTCATTTCTAGCAAAAATATCTGCACCTTTATTGAGTAACAATATCATGATGTCTGTGTCATTAAATTGACAAATTGTCCAATGTAATGGAGTATTGCCTCTTGAATTAGAACAATTAACAGGAACATTATCATTTATCAAATCTTTAATTTTCAATCTGTTTTTCTTAACAAATGCATCACAAAAATTCTGATAATTTTCTTGTTGTGAATTTAGCATTGCTTCTTGTTTACTTTTTTTTACATACATTTTTTGATGTTAATAATACTTAATTTAACTAGAAAATAATATAAATTAGTAATTAGAATAAAATAGTACAATAATAAAGATGAATTATTGATAATAATTTAACTTACTGATTTTGTAAAGAGACCGGTGGAAATTATGCGAGGTGCTTTAATCATGAGACACGTTTATTTTAGTATAGTATATAGAATCAAGAAAAGAGTGGTTTGGTCGGAAAACTTCGGTTATATATATCCTCATTATTGCTATAATGGCTAGAGTAACGTCATAATTAATCATTTACCATGTGATTTCACTTTTCTCACTTTTAGCGGAGAATTTGAGGTTACACTTATCATTCGTTGCTCGAGAAGGAGCAAGTTTCTCTATTTTCTATACTTTTTGTTGAAGGAAGTCGCTGTGTGGCGCCACTTTCCGAAAAAAAACCTTATTCTAGATTATCGACACTTGGTATTTCAAAACACTAACCTCAAAAAGAATACGTGTAGAAAAAAAACAACTTGATAAAAGATATTTTCAATAAAAAAGCAAAGTATTTGACGGACTTTTCTAATTTATCTCTCATTCTTGCTTGTGTGAGCCAATGGCTTTGTATATTACAGTAGTGATTTACTTCGTGTATGTATCTTTGTGTGTATAAATTCATTGACTGTAAACGTGCATGTAACGCATATACACAGTGAAAAAAATATTATTTTATCCAAATGTCATACATCAAGGAGTGACATTTAAAATTCTGAAGCTGCTATACGTAAACAATTTAGTAATAAAAGCAGCAATTTTTAAAAAACAAGAAAATTAACAGTAGTTCAACGAAATTTAATGTATGTAATCATTATAAACGTAATAGAAGTGATAATAAAATAAAAATAAAAATATCCGTACGTATATAGTTACATGTGTAGATAATATTTAAGTAAATAAGGGAAAAAAATATTTTTTTTATCAAATTTAAAGTGTCAAACAGAACAGTATTACCATCAGGCAAAGCAATCATAATTAACCAATAAATTTAACTTCTATTAATATTAATATTTAATATTAATATTCATCATCAACCTGTGACAAAAGTAATTTAAAGATTACATACAAAATTACTCTTGATAATCGTTGTTTTTTTCGTTTTGATGAACGATATTTTGTTATAGTGAGTGACAAACGATATTTATAATATTATAACCTAACTACCAATTTGATTGAAAATTACGTGTATTCATCAGTATAAGAAGAAAAATTATAAATATACAATGGATGTGGATGATTTTGATCAACATTTATTGCAACAATTCAGTTGTATGGGCACAACAGATAAAGATGATTTAGTAAAACAATTACAAAGATTACTTGCTGGTAGCCAATTAAATGAAGCTACTGCTACTTTTTTTTTAGATATGAACAATTGGTGAGTATTGCTAAAAATTTTGTTATCATTATCAATTTAATCTTCGTTAATATTTGAAAATTAACCTGTTATCACTTGCTAATTCTTTCACATTATAACCAACAAAACATTTTACTTACAGTAATTGTTTCCCTATTAATAGTACTATTTCTTGTTTTAATCATTACAAAATAAATCAATTTAAAACTTTTATCAATTTTCTAAATCTTACTGTTTCTTTTTTCAAGTTTATTTTCAATAAAAATATATTTTATTATTGATAATTGCAAGACATGTTTTGAGGTTATATTAGAAAGAGTTGGATATCTTCTACATGAATTCGCTTTTATATTGAAAAAAAAATGTAACAAATGATTAAATTAATTGTTTTAGGAATTTACAAGCAGCAATATGTAGTTATTTTGACTTTGAATCACCTTTCAAGCTTCCTAGTATGTCTTTAATATGTGACAGTACGATAGGAGAAGGTGAATCAGTGTCTCCAAATACGAAGTTCCAAAAGTCATGGAAAGTACAAAATTCTGGAAATGAATCATGGCCTGAAGGACTTTGCCTTCAATATACTAGTGGTGCTGTAATGGGAGATTGTACAAAAGTTGACGTACCGACATTAAGACCTAAAGAAATCACTGAAATCAGTGTCACTCTAACCAGTCCTAATGAATTAGGAGTTTTTCAAAGTAAATGGAGAATGATGACACCTTCTGGCTCCTATTTTGGTGGTAAGAATAATTAAGCTATTATTTTTTCTATCTTAAACAAAGTAATTCTTTTATTCATCAAAAATAAATATTCAATTCTTCATAATAATTACTAGCTAATGATGGAATTATTTTTCTAGATGTTATTTGGGTAATAATCACAGTCAGTGAGACTGGTACTCTGGCAGTCACTCAACAACTTCATCAATTATCAACTTCACAATCGAATGACGTTCAAATGTCCTAGCCTTCTCCTTAAGAATAATTAAATAAGTCAGATAATTTTGAGATAATCTATTTTATAAATATTGAAGAGTAAAATTTTAAAAAAATGAACATAAAAGTAAGAAAAACTATTTAAGTATATAAAGTAACAATTTTAATTGTTCTCAATAATAGGAATATTATATACATTGTTTATTTTTTTTTTGTCTTTACCTTTGATCATATAATTTATATCGTTCAACTATTGATAGATTTTTTTTAGCTTATTCAAGACTATTTTCACTTATCCTATTTAAAATGGTTGTAAAGGATAAGTTGTAATGAGTTTAAATATGACATAGAAAGGTTTTCAGTAGTAGGACTTTATATGTTTCTCTTTTTTTTTTGTTTTTAAATGCATAATGTTTATGTAGATTGGTTTGTGAAGCTGAATGATTTATAGAAATGATAATAAGTATCATTATTTTTATGATATATTAAGTAAAGTAAATTGATAATAAATCATATTTTTGTTGATTTTATCTCAGGTCATGGATGGAATGGAAAATCATGTTCATTTTTTCAAGTGTGTTATTAAGTTAAATTGCCAAGTTATTCATCTTACTCATTAGCTAAATAATTAACAAATTGTAAAATATCCGAGCAATGAATATGAATAGCAATGATTCAATTTTTATATTGAAAAAATTAATTTAGAAAATTTAGAGAATAAATATTGATTTGTAAGAAGGAAGAAGAGAAAAAAAAACGAAATAATAATGAAAAGAAAAAAACAAAAGTTAATTTTTTCAAGAGTACTTAGTAGTGTCTTTGAAATAAATAAGGTCTTGAGAGTATAAATAAAAACAAAAAATATGAACAAAAATATTTATTTTATTATTTGAATAATTATAGTGATTAATAATCCTAATTAATTGGTAATTAAAATAATTTTTCTTTTTCTAAAATAAAAAAAATATTTCTACTCTCTCGACCTTAATTAATTATTAATAATAGATATTAAAGATAACATGTGATACATTTTCAATATTTAAATAGATCATAATAACGAATTAAGACGTAGATTATTGAGGGAATATATTTTTTTGGAAAATTATAAATATAATACAAGTTTTTCTTCAATACTTCCAATTGAATATTCGATTAATAATTTCTTTCTCGAAATATGTAAAAAAAAAATCATTACTGTAGGAATATTTGTATTAATCTTAATGACTATAAAAAAAATTAAAATTATTTTGAGAAAAATATCAGATATTGTTTAATTGAAGTTTAAAAATAATTATACAGCCATTTTCATGGATATTTTTGGGTGAGGTTTATAATTAATTAATTCAAAATCACTTGCAATAAAATCATCAATTTCTTTTACTTGACGTGTGATTTTGAGACTTGGAAAATCATTTGGCGTGCGTTCACATTGGATATTTAAAGCATCAATGTGGTTTAAGTAGACATGACAATCGCCCATTGTATGAACAAATTCTCCAGGCTAGATAATTAATTAAATTACTAATGAATAATAAATGGATATTTAAACATATTCTTACCTTCAAACCAGTAATGTGAGCAATCATGTATGTTAGAAGTGAATATGAAGCGATATTAAAAGGAACTCCAAGACCCATATCAGCACTGCGTTGATAAAGATGACAAGACAATTCATTATTATCTACGTAAAATTGTACGAGACAATGACAAGGAGGTAGAGCCATTTTTGGAATATCTATTGGGTTCCAAGCACACATAATCATACGACGATCATTAGGATCTTTGCGAATTAGATCAATGACGTTTTGTAATTGGTCTACACCTGAATAATAATAATAATATAATGTTCATAAGTTATTTTGTAATGATCAATGCTACTTCAATTGAATGAACGTCTGTTGAATTGAGTTGATTATTTTTAGATTGAATTAATAATGATTATGTACCTTGACCAGTGTAATCAGTATGCATATCAACATATTCAGCGCCAAAATGTCGCCATTGAAAGCCATAAACTGGTCCTAAATCACCTTCCTCACGATTTTTAAATCCACAATTATCTAAAAACTCTCTCGAGCTGTTAGCATTCCAGATATTCACTCCTTTAGATGATAATTCTTTGGAATTTGTTGATCCTTTGATGAACCATAGCAGCTCTTCGACTACTCCTTTCCAAAATACCGACTTTGTTGTCAATAATGGGAAAATATCTAAATAAAAAAATAATCATTTATTTATAATTATTTTATTTTATTATAATTAGTTAATATCTTACCATTTTTTAGAGTAAATCTCATCTGAGCTCCAAATATAGAATAAGTTCCAACACCAGTTCGATCATTTTTCTTAGCTCCTTTATTAATTATTCGTTTAATTAATTTTAAATATTGATATTCTTCATGATCATCATTTTCTAACTCATTATTTCCATTTTTTAATTCATTAGAATCATTTATTTTGCTAACACCGTTGGAAGCCATTGGAAACTTTGTTTATTTTGTCCAAAAATAATGACGCGTAATAAAATTTCACGGATTTGTCTTTGGAAATCGTTAAATTCAAACATTTAAAGGTTAAACGAACACACCATAAAAATATATTCAATATATTCTTAATTGTTTAATCATAAAAATCATTTTTTTATTCATAATTTTGGAATTAAATATCTCATAATTGATGTGCATTTATAACAATGCACCAATTGCATCAGTAGCTTAACTGATCAACAATTTTATAATTTAAAAAAATGAAAAAATTTAAATTTACCCGCCATTATTTAATTCTTAGAAAAAATTGACAGGTCAGACATAACCTCAATACATTACACCTGCTGTACCAATTAATTATAAACAATAATTTGTAAATATAATTGGATTTTTTAATTAAAAAACAGAACAGGTAATAACAATCATTTATTTTATTAACAACCTATCTATACATGTTAAATTATCAATTAAATATTTAAGGTTATTAATTAAAATAATTAAATGTTGAAATTATTTCAGATAAAATAGGTGTTGTAAATAAATAAATCAACAATGATAACGTCTAAATAATATCTATAAATAACGAATAAAGTATAAATAATTATTTTTATAAAGTCACTCAGTAATAATGGCTGCAATAAAGCATACTCTACAACGAGAGATATTTACGCCCAATGATGAGAAATTATTGAGTGTTTGTTTTGTTAGTAAGGCATATAAAAAAAAGAAGACGAGTTTTTTGTGTTTAGTAACAACAACTGATACTCCAGGAACACTGATTATTTACCAAATAAAAAAAAATGATAAAAATGTATATAAAAAGAAACAATCATGGTTACTCAATGATATCCAAGTGGTTGATGGACTTAAGAACAATTCTATGGACATGGAGTTACATATTGACAAAATTTATCGTTGGTTTGTTGCTACACAACAAGAACGGAGAACATTTATCAGTAATTTGTACACATATTCTTGTAATTTACCACAGAGACCAGAGTTTAAAAATGTTCCTAAAGAATGGTTGAACGATCCTGTCATTTCTACTGAACGAGATAACATTTCTCTAACACCAGGTAAGACATTGACATCAATAATTTATAAAAATTTTGGTGAAATAAATTTTTATTAATTATTTTTATATTTTTAAAGATCTTTTAACACCAGCCATATCACTTGATTACCAGCCAATAACCGACAAAGAAGCATCTGACCTAGAAACTCTAATGTCTGGCTGTGACTACGCAATATCAAACGCCGAGCTTTTCATGGAGACCCTAGCAAAGGACCTGTCTATCCTCGATGGCGAGAATGTTCAATCAGTTTTAGCTTCTGAGCCTCAAGTAACCCAACTAATGAAAGGAATAGAAGCAGCCATTGAAGAAGCATCTCAAGTTGAAGCTCGTCTTGTAGTTTATGACGAAGCTCTTGGGCGAATTCGTGAAGTAATGGCTCGTGTGGGACAGAAGAATCAAGCGATTCATACAGCTAATCACAACACTCGGCTTCTCCACCAACAATTAGACCAGGTGATAAAGCAACTAGACATTTCTGATGATCATTTGAAAATCCTCAATGAAGCAGAGCTTCCTAGTGGACATGCTGAGTTGATAGTCGCTGGTACTGTGCTTCTAAAAGCAATTACAGCACCACTGCCACCAGGCCTAGACAAACTAAGTGCTGTGTCTGAGCAGAAAAGAAGACTAGAAAAATTGAAAGCTAAGTTTTCACAATTGGTAGCTCGACATCTGAATAATCTTTTCATTCATCTGGGTAATGATGTTGGAGATACGATGTCGACGTCTGAGTTGATCCTTCCGATGCATTCATCAGTCCATCGAGAACTGGAGCCATACACGGAGTTGATGCAGCTGCTGAGGTCTCTAGATAACAAAGCTTTTGTGCAATTAACAAAAGTCTACACAAATGCCATGGGAAAGTTGTATCAACGAGACTTGAAATCCTTCTTTGAAGAAGCCAAGTCGTGTTTGATAAACACCAGGACGCATTCTAATGTATCAAAGTCCAGTGGACAAAAGAAGGATGATGATCCAATCACTCCAGCGCCAATGTGGTTACTAAGTCATGAAGCTCCGCTACCACAAAACGATGGTGTGCTGCTAGATTCTATATTGGATCGAGTATTATCACAATTGCAGCCAATATGTCTTGCTGAACAGGCTTTTTGTGTGACATTTTTCCAATTAGACCTTGCATTATCTCCTTCTAAAGCTCCTGGAGATGATTCCGATCAACAGAATGACAATTCAAGTAACGGCGCTGTGAGTCCTGGCTCTGTTTCATCAACTGCTAGCAAAAAATTAGAAAGACAAGTCAATGAAGAAGTGAGAGCGACAATGGCTGCTATTTTTCCATCACTTGAAAGTGAATTGAATAATTTTATTTCCTTCCTGGATAAAATTGATTGCTTCTGGGTTATGTATGTACTAGTCAGGCTCTCACAACATGTCATGTCTGCTCAAGACACTGGATCTTTTCTCTCTATGACCTTTGCATCCTCTTTGGTTCAAGTCAAGAGAGCCTTTGATAAATTTATGCAGATGCAACAGCAGTCCATATTAAAAGACACCAAAGTCAATCGAAGAAATAAATGTGGAATTTTGCCTTATGTTGAGAATTTTGGTATTTTTGCTAGGATTGCTGATAAGATCTTCAAGAATTCTGATAGAAGAATTGACTTGGAGAAGTGGTATACTAAATTAGTTGGAACTATGTTTGAAGCTATTATGAATCATAGTGGTGAACATCACAAAACGCCACAGGAAGTTATCAAGATGGGTAAATATAGGATATTTAATACATTTACTTTTTATTTAACAACTGGATATTAATATTCATTTTTACAGAAAACTTCCATCATCTTTACGACTTGTTGTCCCAATTAAAAATTCCTGTATTGGACCACGAGAGAAAGGAAGCCAAACAAAAGTATCAAGATGCTTTAAAGGCGTATGTGATTCAATATTTTGGTCGTCCATTAGAGAAATTGAATGTAAGAAAAAGAGATATTATTTATAATGATTAATTTGGTATTAGATTGAGAAGAACAGTTAATTATTATCAATTTCTTTTAGTTATTTTTTGAAGGTGTACAAGCTAAAGTAGGTTCAGGAGTAAAAGAATCTGAAATAAGCTATCAAATGGCTTTCAGTAAACAAGAGCTACGTCGTGTTGTTAAAGAATATCCAGCAAAAGAGGTGAAGAAGGGCTTAGAAAATCTCTATCGCAAAGTAGAAAAACATCTTTGTGAGGAAGAAAATTTATTACAGGTATAATTAAATAATCAACACTCTGAAATATGTGGAATTAATATTAATATAATTTTGTAGGTAGTTTGGCGAGAAATGCAAGGAGAGTTCATAGCTCAATATATTTATATTGAGGAATCAATTCAACGATGTTATCCAGATAGTATGATTACTCTGGAATTTACTATTCAGAATATTCTGGAATTCTTCTCTGAAATTGCAAGATCACACTAGATATTATAAAACTGTTGAACAAATAAATTATCGATTAATAATTTTCAAAACAATTATTCTTCTTATTTAATTAATGAATAACTCAATTTTAAAACTCTCGTATGAAAAGTCACTAAAAATTTCAAAGAATTAAATTATTTTAATACTTTTGATTTTGTTTATAAATAATTGGATAGAATGTAATATAATTTTTAACTAAGAACGGGTGTATAAAAAATATTATTAAAAATTTAATTGCAATAGTAGATATTAAAAAATAAATCCTTAACAACTGATCTAATTAAAATATTGACAGTTGTTCATGATTTTTTCACTCTTTATCAAACACAAGATAACATAAATCACCCTGAAATGAAATCAATAATCGTCATCTGTTTGAATATAAACTGATAGATTAATTATTCTTGCAACTAAAATTAACAACAGTTAATTTTCACATTTATCCTTGTGTTCACATAAGTTAGTATTATAATTTACAATTAATATAATTATTTATAAGTATTAAAAAAGTGGCAATGTATAATTTCGATCAATATATTGATAGTAATTTTATCGATAATGTAAGTTATCAAATTATTCTTAAATTAAATAATAAATAATAATAATTTAAATAATAAATTATATTCTAGATAAAAAGAATAATGAAAGAAAAATGGAAATCGATCGAAGATAAAACAAAATATGGTTGGATCACGGCTTATTATCAATGTGAAAATTTAAAAATCGATAACGAAGAAGTCTTGGAAAATTTAGCAACTAAGGTAAGAAAATAAAATAGATTATTATCTTAATTATGATCATCTTATTGTAATAAATCAATTATAAAGATTGGTGATGAAAATTGTGAACAAGCAATAAGAGAAATTAAAAAGCTATCAAGAAATTTACATCCAAAAGAAATACCCATGATTGCGGAATCAATATTAAATGAAATTTATACAATAACTTTATTGAGGTAATAAATAATATTTTATTTATATCTGTCTTGTTTATTTAATTAAATATTTCTTACAGGAAAAAAAATTCGAGAAAAGACACATGGAAAGTAATGAAACACAAACAATGTCTAAAAAAATCTCCTACAATTTTTACAATATGTAATAACATTAAATCTTAAATTATATAATATAATTTAGAACATAATATTAAAAATCAATTAATTCAATTTTATGTCGAATTTATATCTTATTATTATAATTATTATAATAAATGATTATTTAATTAATTTATTGTATAGATTTTGATTCTCAAGTCTATTTAATGCTTTACGATATTTCGTAAATGAATAAATATTTATACATTTGACTTGTCATTAATAATATTAATTATTTATGTTATTATAATATAGAGCAGTATATATAAATATATCGTCATTATATTCCTACATAATTTATTTTTATTTCACTTTCTTTGTTAAATTTGAAAAAAATCAGTTCAATTGGTCCCACTATAAATGAAAGAAATAATTTATTCATCTTTCTTCATATACAACCGATGATTTTCCGGTGCTCTACGATCTCCATATCTGCAAAAAAAAATCTAATCCTCAAATAAAGATATTTAAACATTATTAAAATTATTTTTTGAGCTTTAATTAATGAGAGATAACTTATTGATCATTTTCATTTAGCTATTTTACTCTAAAGTGCATATTAAAATGCGTGAAGTAATTGAATAAATTAATAGAAGCTGATTGTGAAGTAAATGATTTGTATCTATTAAAAGCAAACATCTATGTTACATATTAATAATCACGAAATCCCATTAAAAGTGATTGAATAATTAAATAATAGCTTTATTATTAATATTATAATGAATCTAGTGATGATTTTTTCTACAGTATTAGTGGATTAGTTCGACTTACTAGAGTTAGTTCACAATGCGATAACCACTGAAGCTGTTTTATGATTAAATTGAAGGCGGATTGTGATTAGGGCTTCCCGAAGTCGATGTAGGAGTCAATGGAGTACCTGGAGGTGATGCTTCTAATGGACACACTAAGTTTCCATAGTCAATTTCACTTTTGCTTTTTTTCCTCTTTAATGTAAACTGCGACTTCTTTGGTACCTAATACACAATGATAAGCATAATTAATTGAACAATAAAATGAATAATAATTTTGATTAATTACCTTCAATCTTGCTGTCAAAGTCAATGGCACAAATCCAAGAGTATTTTCAACTTCTCTCTTCTGCTGAACCACATCTCTACCAATAACTTGATTAAAATGTGTCGTGAGATGTCTTCTTAGTAAAGTCTTAGCAGGTGGAATACTCAAAAGTGTTGCAAGAAGTTCAGAAGTAAATCGTCCTTCATGAACCATCAATCCACCATGAACCCCAGATCCTCTCATGTTGGGAGCATACTCTGCAAGATCCACCACTCGCAACCACTCCATCACTCGATGATTGGTCCAAAGAGCTACATTGCTTCCATCAGCGCCATCACCATTAGGTGATCTTCGTTCTAAATTGTCGAACTGGAAGTTTAATTCACGTAGAACTTGAATGCCTCGTCGTAAACTGGCTGCATGAAGCTGAGCAGTTACTCCAAGAGCTAGAAGATCTTCTGTAGTTAATCGATGAAGCACACGACCATCAACCTTAGCATTTTGAAAGGCTTCTTTGTGCTGAGGAAGGCCAATATCATCTAACCATCGTAAGACAGCAGGACTATCCATCTAAAGTAGAAATTATCAATGAAAGTATTTTTTAAAAAGGCTCTGAGCAATAATCTGTGAATGATAATTTCAATACCTTTTCAGAACCAAGAAAACCCACTCCATTACTTCTTTCACATTCTACTGCATACAATAATTTTTTTCTATGCAAAGAATTTTTAATATCTAACTCCTTCTCTATCTGATGTTGAGTAATATCCATCAATTTACTTCCTGTTGCGCCCCAGCGTCGTAATTCAGGTGCATAAGACTCCAATCCTAACTCTGACAGCCAACTTTCTATTTCTTCAATTGACAATTGACTCAATAATTTCGATGGCGTTGGCTCGATTTGATTGATCTCATTTATCACTATTTTTTCTTCTTCAGCTACAAAAATAAAAGAAAAATTAATTTTTGTTATTAAATAAATTTAATAAGTTTAAATTCATGATTGGAAAACACTTTTGGAGTAATTCACGTGCAGTTCAAAAATGCAATCATAAGCTCAATTAAGTGCAGCTTTGTTAGCATATGTGAAATAAAATAAAATTGAATGATTTAAAATGATTAAGAAAATGAAAATCTCTCATTCCAATTTAACTTTTTGGTATTTAAAACCTAAAATCGGTGCTGACAAACATCTTGAGGATGTTCCCATCATGTTCATGTTGATTACTGAAGATTGAGCACCAGGACTCAGATGATGAGAAAGCTTACCAAATGCTACACCTTTCTTAGTCACTGTTGGTGGTCGTGGAAGACTACTGTATTGTCCTGTGTGTCTGCTAAACTTCTCTCCCTATTGAAAAAATCCAATTTCACATTACAACCGGATTAAATATATTTAAAAAATATATAATCAAGTCTATACTTACATTCGAAATCGACGTAGCATTACGAAGTGTCAAATTTTCATGCTCTAGACTCGCTTGTTTCAACTTCATCTCAGAAAGAGAGGTAAGCAGTTCAAGTTTCTGAGTCTCCAAAGCACTTTTAGACAAAATTTCCTTCTGCAAAGCATTTTCCAGTTGTCGTAATGAATCTTTTTTCTCCTGTAATAGATTTTCCAGCTCCAGTATCTTACTTGATTGAGCATCAACCTGCTCTGAAAGTACAGCTACTTCTAGATTCAATCCTGCTCGATCATTTTCAAGCTTCCTCAATCGTTCCTAAAAGTAAAAAAGAAAATTCAAGAAATAATTAGAAAACTGGAAGAATAATAAACTCTAATTTATCAACAAAAAAATTCGATCTGATCTGATTTCATATCACTGATAATGAATTTTATAATTCAACACCAATCTTTAAATTAATCTTATCACTGACTTTATATTCAATAATAAATAAATAAATGAATAAAGTCGGAATAATTGGATGGCATTTGATTTTTAAACTTCTCTGGCTAATAAAATTATACCTCAGTATTATTATTATAGCAATTAATACATGAATTGCTTGCATATTGACAATGAAATTGCTGCAATGAGCAATAATGCAAAGGAATTCGATCTCGTTCGCAATAAATAAGATCACTTTGTGATTTAGCTCGCTGATCTCGTTCATTTCTATTCCTCAATCGACGTCTACGTCGATCAAGAGAGCAAACACCTGATCCACGTCCATTACCACCACCAGGAATTCCAACAGAATTACGTGGCAATTGATCGCGTTGTGTTGGAAAACACTTTGGTTGAACTTTTTTCCCAAAACCATTGAAACTGTGATGATCGAAGGGTGATGATTCTCTGCATGAGGATGACTCCAAATGATCTTTGGAGCTTTGACGGAAAGATCTAGCTCGACTCAAGTCATTTTGTCGATCCCAAGTATTGGAGTTCATTGGAGAACGTAAGTATTCAGAAAATTCACGAGATTTTTCTGCTTCTGATGATGATCCTGATGAATCATAGACTTCTGACGGAGTCCAACGACAACTCCATTGTTTCACAGTTGATGTAGCATCAGAAGAATCCGACTGTGATTCTGTAGAATTGTTTATTTAAATATTTGTTGATAAAAATTTCGAATTTATTAATGAAATATAAACCTTTTGATGGTATTTTTAAATCTTCCTCCATTATAGGTTGAAGATCTTTGTTCTTTGATGAATGTCCATTTGTCCATGATCCTTCCATCACTCTCACATCCAAACAAAGCCGATCACAATAAATAATATTTCAAAAATTCAATTAATAAATCAACTCAATGTAATATTAATTCTTCAATTGATTTAATTCTTGATTTTTTATCTTCAAAGATAAAACTTAATTTTTCGTTCGTATTTACTTAGTTAAAAGATCTTACAATTAAGCCGCATTGAGAAGAATGAATGCTCAAAACCATCCAATCGCAGTAACAGTTTTTGAACGACTGCGTTTCACGGGTGTGTCTTAGGATCAGCTAAAATTAACACTCACGAAATATTCTCGAGTCTGGGTTTATAAATAGGTCCTCTGTGTTTCTCCCTTCGAGTGAATTAATTAGCAAAAGGAGTTCGTACAAAAAGAAGTCGTAATAAAAAAAAACTACCTTATTTGTTTCTCTAAATGATGGTAAATGATAAGTAGTAGAAAAAATTGAATTAGAATTTGATTCTCAACTTACAGGTATCATCCATTGAAGTAAAATATCAATGGTATTGACATCAGGTGGTGGCGGTGGAGAAGATGAACTCTGGATGGCCACCACTAGATTCCTTGTGGCTTCTTTTACAGGATCTTTCCAGTCTGTTAGAGAATCTGTACCATCAGCACATGCACCTGAATGCATAAATAAATAGTAGATATTTAAATGTTTTTAAATAAAGTCATAAATGAAGATCATTTATTTATTTAATCTAGAAGTAAACAAGTGAGTTGTTTTATTTACCTGAAATGATTCCATCCATCTGTAAAAGAGCAGCTTCAAGCATTTTACTCGCTTCAGTTGAACTAGATAAATATTTACTTGTATCACCTTCGTCTGATCCACTAGAGTCTTCTCCTTTTCCCATTATATCCTGGAAATAATTAATTCATTTAGCAATCAAGCCATAAAAGTTTGATAACATGTACCATAGGTATTTCTTATAAAAAAACAACTGTTAGAACTAGATGTTATTCAATGACCTAAAAAATCTTTTACTCCATTTCTGTTATTATTTGAATTATTGTATATTTAATTTAATTTAATAAATCAATTAATTAATTAAGCTTATTGTAATTTACGTACGATTAAATGTCAATATTTCTGCCATTTTCGGAATTGTAGTAAATTTTTATTTAATTAACAAATTAAAGATAAATATTTTATCTCAACACTGATGTATAATTATTATGTAAATGTTTAAATATTTGTTGAATTTATTATTAAATGATGATCTTTATATTATAATTATTATAAACATATTTAAATATTGCCGAAGAGCAACGCCCAAATGATCTGACACTACTATAAGTAATAATTCAATTACTCTTTCTCTTTCTCCCTCTTTCTTCTGATTATCTCAATTTTTTATTAATATTATCCTTCACCCATCAACTTTCTCTTATCAATAATATTCAACAATAATTCGTTAGGCTTCACAATATTTATCAACAATTATTTAATCAATTGTTTAGGACATTAGATTTTTATTTTTAAAAAATGTCAATGAAGGAAGTGTGATTATCGACTGACACTTGTTGCTTTTACACGTTGTTCACTGATAAAAAAATATATACATTTATATTCTTTTTTAAATAATGGTGATAATATTATTGTTTAAATAATTTACTACTTACCTTAACTAATTAGATGATTAATTAGTCAGCTATTCCGCAATAATATTTTCTAATTATCTATACGTAGGTTCACCGCTTAGGTTATTGAAGTATCAAAAATAAATGATTTTAAAGCCGAATTATCAAAAATATATTCCTTTTGGTTTTTAATTGATTATAACAATCAAAAAATACTTTTTATTTATTAACTAATAGTTGATAATAATTAATTAATAATTATTTTTTGGTTAAGATTTTTAGTTGTAGTTTTCAAGAGGAAAACTGTTAATAATAATTGTATTTAAATTATCAACTAAATGTAATTATTATTGTTATTGATAGTTTCATGTTGGAATTGTGTCAAATTAATTACGTGACGTGAAAAAAATGTAAAAAAATAGTTAAAAAATGATAATATTTAACGGAAGTGAATAAAAATTGTTTCACATGAAAACAAACACTTGGAAAATCACACCTGTGACGTTGAGCTCTGAAGTTGATTGCAAGTGCCGCCATTTTGAAGAAAAGAAAATTCAAACCTCAAAATAATTTATACGGAATATTAATAATAAAAATGAATAACATGTTTAATTTAAATAATTAATAGATAGAAAAAGTATTATTGTTGATGTTTAATAATTATTTTTCTATAAAATATATTTTGAAAATGAAAAATCCAAAATGGCGCACTTTTAGGTTATTTACGATCAAAAGATGGCAACATTGTGCTTCGAGCAATGATCAGAACTAACGAATCCCTACACTTCCGTTACATTTTATTTGTGCTGATCTCGTGAGAAAAAAGGCCATGAATTTGATGAAAAAAAAATCCGAAATAAGGCCAAATGATTATTTAAATAATTAAATAAAAAATATTTGGTTTAAAAACGACGGCCGAAAAATCGTAAAAATTCCATAAAAGATGAAAATAATTAAAGTGAAGGAATAAAGTGACAAAAAATGTGAAATTAATCAATTGCTCAACGGATACGTGTAAGTTTATTATTATTCAGTAATCAATCAACCACTTTTATATACATTGTTGTACGTATTACTGTATGTAATACAGTGTAATACAAGTGAAAAACCGCGAAATCCTACGTCACAAGAGTGACGGATTAGACGTTAAAACTGGGACAAAGTGCAGTGCACTCTGGCATTGCGCTTTACCCACCAGGTGTTTCTATGCCGTAATCTTCGCAAGATTGGGTAATACTCGTACCATTGCACCTTGCTCTCAAATACCTAAAGTAAAGGCACAATCACTGTCTTGTGTTGAGTTGACAACTATTTAGACAGTTCACATGGATTGACATCAACTAGGTAGGGAGGTACGTAGTATTTTAAGATACTTTCTAACAACTTTGCACATATATGTATTGAAAACTTATTTTCTTTTTTAGATATCAATCCTTTTGTTGTTATCAATTACAATATAAATCATGGTTTAATGAATAATTATTCAACATTTCACCACTAAAACTCCAATCCAAAAGCTTCAATCCCATAAAAATGCGAAAATTATTATGTTATTTCAACACTTACAGCAGTATTTTATTTTATTGTAGATACTTGACTAGTCATGTGTGAGAGAAAACTTGAATTATCTTTAAAAATTTAATTTTAAAAAGAATATTTTGTTGAATCATTCCATTGTTTATCTCACAAAATAGTTGTTTATTTAGATTTAGTAGTGAATTTGTTCGATATTAGAATCAATTCTTATTCAATAGATGTTAAATATATGCTGAATTTTATAAATTTCACCTAGTTCAAAAAATGAGGCTATCTTTTTATTATTCATTGAGTTGAAAGTTTCCATTCTTACAAATAATTTAACCCAATATATATTTCAAAATGTATCCACCATCAGAATAATTTTATTGTCATTGTTTTTTTTTTACCAAAAAAAAAAAAAAAACTTTCATTTTACCATTTTTTTACTTCAAAAATACTGCTTCTTTTCATTATAAACAAAAGATTGATTTTTATATTCTAATTTTATCATTATATTTCGCAATAATTGACTCATAATATCTAGTTAGATATAAAATAAAAAAAATAATTTGTTTAATTTTAGATTAAATGACGGAATCAAGAGAAATTTACGCTTCAGTATAATGTCAGATGGAATCGATGGTGGTAGTGGGGAAAACGAGGTAGACTCTCATTCCTCTGTACATGCAGAACCTGGAGATTCATCAAATAACAGGGAAGATGAACAAATAGATGGAGATAACGAAGCTGCACTCAATACTAATTATGACAGTGGTGATGGTGCAGTTCCAGTATTCAGGTAAATATAATTATTTCTTTAACAATAATTTCTTTATAACAAATGATCAAATCTTATTTCTAACTACTATCTTATCATATTTCAGGTGCGAAAGATGTGATAATTATGAGACAATTAATAAAGCAGCATTTTGTGCCCATCAAGATCAGTGTTTAACGGGAGCTGAAGGAAGGGAGAGCGTAGAAAGCATAGAAACAGGAGAAAACGATGGTGATGGTGATGAAGGACACTCAGGACATCGATCTCATAGAAAAATGTTTGAGTGCGACGTTTGTAATATGAAATTTTCCAATGGCGCCAATATGAGGCGACATAAAGTAAGCTGATTATTTAGTTGATCAATTCTATGAAGATGTGGGTTATTTAAAATAAATGTGAATTATTTTGATGAATTTTTAGATGCGACACACTGGCGTCAAACCATATGAGTGTCGCGTCTGCCAGAAACGATTCTTTCGAAAGGATCATTTGGCTGAACATTTTACAACACATTCTAAAACCCTGCCTTATCATTGCCCTATTTGTAATCGTGGCTTTCAACGACAAATTGCCATGCGTGCACATTTCCAAAATGAACATGTTGGACAACATGATATGGTTAAATCTTGTCCACTTTGTAATTATCGAGCTGCCACTATGAAGTGTTTGAGACTTCATTTTTTTAACAGGTAAATATGTTTGTTAGATTTCAAGGTTATTTGATTAAAAGTAAGATTACGTTAAAGACTTTAATTTTATTGATCTATTGGAAAGATTAATACTTCCTCTGTCTATAAACAATTTCATCAAATTTTTAAAGGTAGAGTTTATTAAACGAAACTAATAGAAGTAAAAAAGATATTATTGCTTAGCTTAAAAGTTTATTAGTCGTTTGGTAAATATTTAATATTTATTTATTAAGAATCATAGAGTATTCTTGTATTTCGTTTTTAAAATAGACAAATAGTTAACAGCTTTAAACTTTCATCTTAAACTAAGCCAAATCATCTTTTTAATACTTATTGTAATGTTTATTAACATTTTATATCAATTTTAAATCATCTAGACTTTTTTTTTAAACTCTATAAAATGTTTTTACTATTTTAAATGACAGCTCGTTTAGCTACCGAATTTTATCTGACCACAAAAAATTTCAAAAGATGTATAAAATAAAGAAAATCAATACCAAAGGATTTTTTTTAATCAAATTTAAATTTATTGATTTTTATAAATTAATATAATGCTTGCTACAATTCTGCATTCAATTATATTTAAAACTCCAAATAGGTCAAAATGAATTTAGAACTTTTCCATTAATGTTTTTTTCATCCTAAAATGACCGACAACTGACTGTCATTTATTTAATTGATTGAAGTAAATTATCAAAAAAAATATTAATTAAAAATGAGATTTATTTTGATTAAATTTAAATTAACTGATTTTTATTTATCTTTTTTTTAAGACATGGAATAGATTTAGACAATCCAGGACCAAATAGTTCGAGTTCAATATTGAACAGCTGTTCTCCAGGGGAAGCAATGCCTTCAGCACCACTCTCCGATAGTGGGGACAGTACTGGAAATCGATCGGTTGACAATGCGACACCGCCAATGCACTTTCTGACTCCACATGTGGAAATTTCGATTCCTTATCCAGAACAGACAACTGATCAACGTAATTCCAGTCCCGCTCCGCTCAATGGTGATTGTCCTAATAGTCCACAGAGTGCTGACAGCAACAGTAATGCTCCCAGTAGTAGTCATCATCAGTTACCTATTAATAGTACAATTCATAGGTGAGTGTTGAAGTCAAAGCTATTTGACATGATAATTTTAGGAAAGACCTTTAAAAGATTTAGTCGATGATAGTCATTAAAATCATGAAATCTGGAATTTGTAGCATGGCTGGAAACGTCAGAAAATATTCTTAGGGTTGCTAAAAATAATTAATGAATGTAAAAATAGTGCTCCAACCCCGGGCAAAGGGTGATATCATCAAAAAACTACCCTAGAATTGAATTTTTAACATTCTCTCATCTTTATCATCATTTTACAGCTAAACTACAAAAGATTAAGGATCATGTCTAAGGACCTTTTTTATGCAAAATTAAAAGATCTTTAATTTTTATTCGAAACTTTTTCCCGTATCTCCTGTAGTTTACGAGATAATTGCAAAAATATGAGTTCTAAACAATTTTTTTTGATATTTTCACTTCTTGCCCATTGTATAAACATCTTTTTTATTATTTATAATTATTTCTAACAATCTTATAAACATTTCCGGCCATTTTCAACCATGCTGAAAAATCTTGATTTCAAAACCTTGATAACTAGGCTATTAAAACTTATCAAAATTTTTATTTTCTTTCATTTATAAAAAATGAATGAAATGATACTAACAGATGATAATAAATTTTTCAGGAGTATCGGAAGTGAAGATTCAATAACACCTTCAATCTCATTGATTCCAATAAAGCAAGAACCAAACAGCAATGGGATGGATGAGAGCGGTGCTACATCAAGTAATTTACCACTTCCTTCATTGATCAAAGTGTCACCATTAAAGTCACTTTTACGCGATGATTTACGTCGTAAGCTATCAAACCCTAATAATATTAATATTAATAATAATGCTAATGACAATGGAATTGGTAATCCTCATTCAAGAGGTGAACCCCCCACTTCAACGAGGCCGGATCCTCGTTCCAGCGGTTTACAATGCACTTATTGCAGAATCACATTTCCGGATCAAACATTGTATTTCTTACATAAAGGCTGTCATAGTGACAGTAATCCATGGAAATGCAATATTTGTGGAGAACAGTGCTGCAATCTTTATCAATTTAACTCGCATTTATTGAGTAAGAGTCACCAGTAACTTTTTTTTTAATCATCATTTATAAATTAGAGGTTTATTAGTAAGATTCACCACCTGATATTTACAGTGTAAATTATGAAAGTTTATATCTTTCTAAATTATTGCCTCCTTTTTTTAGAGGCTTTTGATGAATTACTATGCTATTATTGCCTCTAATTATCACAGGTGTATCTTTGAAGTGAATTAATCAAGGAAGCTATGATGCTTATCAGAGTAACTCTGAGTAGTAATTTATTTAAAACTTCAATTAATTTTTATCAACTGGTAGTTTATTTGTTTGGCTCAGTTTACATACTGATAACAAATGTGATTGAACATTTATTTTATTGATTAAATAGAAGAATTTAAATATTATTTACTCTTGACAGATAAACGTGCTTTTTGAAAAGTCTTTATAGATAATAAATTTATATTCTACCTTTACACTATTTTTGTTATTGAATATTTTCATATTTAATTGAATTAAATAATTTAAATGAAACTTATTTGATTTTCGATAAATTTATAATTATCAGAAGATTGGTATAATTTTTTTGGAGTTTTGTTTATATTTTAATTAACTTTCAAGTGTTAATCAATAGGGATTTAAAAAGAACAAAGATAATTTTCAAGCTTTCAAGTCTGATTGTTTGTTTCCAAGATACATTAATGAAACACATCAATGAAATATTAACTAAATAGTTAAGTTATTAATGAACCTCATTAACTAATGAATTTATTTTATTTCACGGATCAAACCCTTGACACATCCTCTATAGGCTTTCTAGAAAATCGTGCCTTTTTGCTTAATGAAGGATAAAAAATATATATATATATAGAAGTACATATATTGTAACGCCAACATTCAATTATAATCCATTGTGATGTCACCAAGAATTATATCCGTCCATAGAGCTTAATATAGATATGAAATTAAAAGCTCTATTTTATTAATTTTTCATTAGTTATTAGGAAGAGAGTATGAGTGAGGGAAGACGAATATTACAATGAATTAGAAATTTACGTACTACAAAAAGAGTTCTAAATAATGTAAATGTTTAGAAATAATTTATGAAAAGATATATTTGGAAAAGAAGAATATAAATGGTTTTATACTGAAATTAAAAATTATATTATTTAATTTGTTTAAAGAGTTTTATAAATGATGAAAACATTGATAAGGGAATCTTTGTAATGCATTCGTACTTGAAAACAATAATCAATTGTTAATTATTTTATATTTTTATTCATAATTTAATTATGATTATTATAGAAATGTCACAAACATTATTATAAACTGATTAAAAATGAATTTAATGAATATAAAGAGGAATATTTGAAAAATGTGAATGGAAAAAGAGATAATAAATGTGATGATTTTCGGGAGATGAAAAAATATTTCAATAATTATATCATACAGAAAACAACCTTAAGTGCCGTAGAGTGGAAATAATGAATATTGTTGTGTACAGAGCACAAATAGTCCAGTCATCAAGGTTTTGAAATCAAGATTTTTCAGCATGGTTGAAAATGGCCGGAAATGTTTATAAGATTGTTAGAAATAATTATAAATAATAAAAAAGATGTTTATACAATGGGCAAGAAGTGAAAATATAAAAAAAAATGGTTTAGAACTCATATTTTTGCAATTATCTCGTAAACTACAGGAGATACGGGAAAAAGTTTCGAATAAAAATTAAAGATCTTTTAATTTTGCATAAAAAAGGTCCTTAGACATGATCCTTTATCTTTTGTAGTTTAGCTGTAAAATGATGATAAAGATGAGAGAATGTTAAAAATTCAATTCTAGGGTAGTTTTTTGATGATATCACCCTTTGCCCGGGGTTGGAGCACTATTTTTACATTCATTAATTATTTTTAGCAACGCTAAGAATATTTTCTGACGTTTCCAGCCATGCTGCAAATTCCAGATTTCATGATTTTAATGACTGGACTAAAAATGATACCTTATTTATTGGCGTTTATCAACAATCATGAATAAATTTATCAATGTAGTAGAGAAAAAAAAACATATTCAATTGTTAAAAATAATACAAAAGTCTTTATTAAAAAAAATTTACAAAAATTACAATGAAAATCTTTAATTCGGCAAAAAGAATTTTTTAAATTCTTGAAGATATCTCTGAAATGAGTGAAAAAAAAAAATCTATGAAAATGAATATTTTATATATAAATATATTTGTACAGAAGAGTATTAATGATTTAAATGATTAAGAATAAAAGTTGGCAATGAAAAGTACACAATTTTTTGCAAGATCCGTCAGAATGTACAAAATAAAAGTGAATTATTTAAAAAACAAAAAAAAAAAAAACTAACAATAACTAGAAAAATAAATAAATAAACCAACAATAGATAAACGAAAATAAAATAAAATAATTTAAAAGATATTAAACCTATAGAAAGTAAAAATAATAAATAGCGAAATAATAAGTAAAATAATAGGTATTTAATGAAATAAATAAATAATTTTCACAGAGAGATAAAAAGAAATTTCACAAATCACTGCTGTAAATTGTTGTAGTTATTAAATAAACTTTATTCTGTATATCAAGGTGAGAAGAAAAGATTTAAAGATGTATATTTCACCATTTTATTTATTAATTAATTGCTAATTTATTAAATTGCATTCCAATGAAATTATATTGAAAAATTATACAAAGTTTTAAATAATTATTGATAGCAATTGTTATTATTAGAAGATAAATTGTCAATTTAATTTATATAAAATTTAATAATAATTAATTAATTATTATTTAATATATTAGTTATATTATAGAGATATAAATATTAATTTAATTTGTTGTTATATTTTAATTTTCTTTTTCTTTCTACATTTTTTGAAAGTAAATTAAGATTATTCAGACTATATTTAGGTATTGCTTTTTATTTTTTAATGTCTCTTTAATCGTTGAAATCCAATCTTTCTTCGATTTTATATTAAAAAATGCCTTAACATATTTATATATTATTTTATTCATCATATTTTTAAAGATTTCATTGTTATTTAAAGATGTTTAAATGAAAAAAAAGAAGATTATAAAACACGAAATAATAGTTTTCAAATCAATCAATTTATAATGAGATAAAAAAAAAAGAAAATAATGTAAATATTTTTTTTTTATTTTACAATGGAATTATATCGAAAAATATGATGAATAAAATAATTAAAAAAGCCTTAGGTGCACTTCCTGCCCACTTGATATTAATATTAATCGTGATAAATCACTAAGAAAAGAAAGCGTACATACCAGAGATAAAAATAAAAAATGTTTTATTGCAAACTATTATTATTAATGAATAAATTGTAATTATTTAAATAAAGAAAATTGTCATAAATTATATTTAATTGTATAAGAAAATTTAATTTAAAGAAAAAAAAAAACATTGTTGATGTTACTGTGGTGTAATGGGTACAAATACATTAACAAAAAGCTACATTATGTGAATATAAAATAGAATTTAAAGTTTATTTAAATAAAAAATTTAATAAAAATAAAATAAAAATTATTATTATTAAGTGTATTATTTATTTATCAGTTATAATGATTGTAATAAAAATGTAGTTCTATCGTGACCGCTAGGCGGCGTCTCTTTTCCAATTGACGAAAGTTGTTAAATGCAACTATTTAAACACTGTTAAAATATTGTTAATTATCAAACTCAACTGTTTCTTATGCAATAATTACTTTAAAAAATGTTTAATATTGAAAAAATTGTTTATTTTTATATTTATTATGAATTCGAGTTTCTTTTATCGCGACTGATACTAAAAAAACAGTTAAAAAATACAAAAACTTGACAGATGTAATTGTGATGTTTATGAGTTTTATAAATTATGTAAGAATAACTGTAGAAAAACTATATAACTTTATATAATTTATGTAGTTATTATATATAAATATACAACAAATATGATTTTCGTCATACCCGCCCGGAAAGTTCACTTTTCCATTAGAGAGGGGTTGAACTTTCCACACGAGTATGACAAAAAATCATATTCAGCCCTAGGGAGGAAAAGTATCTTAAACCACGTGTTTACTATAGTCCAGTCAATATAGGAGGCTTGGCTCCATTTGTCTTGAAAATTTTTGTACAAAGGGCAATTTTTAATTTTCTAATGTCAAAATATCCGTAATGACCTGTAGAAAAAATGTGCCCAAAAACGAAAGTGCGCTGATTTTTTTTTATATGATTTTTTCGCATTTTAGTGGTCCCGTGTATCTAAGCGAGACAGCACTATAGGCGGCACCACGCGCTAGAGAAGGACATAACTATCGGAATGAAAAAATCGTATTTTCGATAAAAAAAATTGTAGTTTTCTTGTTCAATATTATTTTATTAATTATTTGACGAACAAAAAAACCTACAAAATCATCAATTTCTTAAAGTTGGTAATTTTTTCATTTATTGATAAAAATTTGTTTTTTTATTTATGTATAAAAAATTTCTTCATTATAGTAAATAATATATTTATTTATTATATTCATTCATTATTTATTTACTTATTTTAGGCAAATATTTGACCCAAAAAATTAAAAAAAATATCAAATTAATATAATAAATAAATATATTATTTACTATAATGAAGAAATTTTTTATACATAAATAAAAAAATAATTTTTTATAAATAAATGAAAAAATTACCAACTTTAAGAAATTGATGATTTTGTAGGTTTTTTTTGTTCATCAAATAATTAATAAAATAATATTGAACAAGAAAACTACAATTTTTTTTATCGAAAATACGATTTTTTCATTCCGATAGTTATGTCCTTCTCTAGCGCGTGGTGCCGCCTATAGTGCTGTCTCGCTTAGATACACGGGACCACTAAAATGCGAAAAAATCATATAAAAAAAAATCAGCGCACTTTCGTTTTCAGGCACATTTTTTCTACAGGTCATTACGGATATTTTGACATTAGAAAATTAAAAATTGCCCTTTGTACAAAAATTTTCAAGACAAATGGAGCCAAGCCTCCTATATTGACTGGACTACTACCCTTCCCTTCGGCTCGGGTTGTAATTTTACACGTGGTTTAAGCTAATTTACTTTTCCTCCCTGGGTGTGAAATGTACTATTTCTTCTTGGAAGTAAAGATAACTTAGTCTAGCCAAAATCGAAAAACTGACATAAATCACAAACTAGCTTAATCTTTTCATTATTTTCACTAAGAGGTTAGTTATGTAGACCTTCCGAGTCGCATCTAGACTACGGAAAAGCATTGATATTTTCACCCTAC